GGGAGAGAGTGAGAGAAGGAGTAAGAGAGAGAAATAGAAAGAGAGAGAGACTTCCAAGTACTAGGGCCATCTCCTGCTGCCTTCCTAGGAGCAGTCACTGGATGGGGAGAAGGACGGCCAGGATTTCAATCATCACTGCATTGTGGGATGCCTCAATCAGAAGCGGTGTTTTACCCACTGAACCACAATGCTGGCTTCAATCACATCATTCTTTTTTTTTCTTAAGTTTTGTTTATTTTTTTTATTGGAAAATCAGAATTACAGAGAGAAGAAGGAAGAAAAGACAGAAAAAGATCTTCCATCTGCTGTTTCATTTCCCAAATGGCTTCAATGGTCAGAACTGAACTGGTCTGAGTTTTATTCTTGCTTTAGTTGCATTTATGTTGTATTTTTGTGTGTAAACAAATAGAACTAAATAAAAGTCTTTCTCTCCCCGCCCCCCCCCCCCCAGTTTGGTTGTAGTTTGCTTAATTTTTATACAATCCCTAATAAACCGAAAACTTCTGGGAAAGAATGATCCGTGATAATGCCAAGGTCTATTTCCTGGTTATGTGATGCTGACATTAAGCTAACTGGTAGTATTTTTTTTCCATGATGCCAACAGTAATTTTGGCAAGCGATCAAAACAAGCAGTGTTCCTTAAAAACTGGGGTCTAGTTAAAACTAGAATATTTGAGTTTTCTCTTGAAAACTCTTTTTTTTCTTGCCTTTGGCCATACGAGTTTCTGTAGGCCTCAAAAAGAGGGGCGAGCCAGAGCTATAATAGGAAGTGTTGTCTCCCAGTTCACCAGTCTGATGATCATGAGCCTAAATAATTAGAAACTCAATGGAAAATCCATTAGTATTGGCTAAAAGCCAAACCCCCAGAAACATTTTTATTTTCACATTCACACTTTTGAGAAAATTTTTCTTCTGGGTGTCTGGGTTTTGGATCTGAGTAAAACTGTCATGTCTTAATTATATTCAAAGCTACCCTCTTGACTTCTATTTCAGCTGTGATATTAGCCTTCACACTTGGACTGGTCTAAATTCTCCTTGGCTGGAGAGTGAGAATTTCATATGTTTTCTTTTCATCTGCAGACATCTGTATTCTGTTTAACTCAGGACTGTAAAATTCACAGAGCAGGAAGGCATTCAACACATTGTGACCACTGTGGGACTCGTTCCTTTCAGGCCAGAAACTACAAAAATTCTTTTACCAGTGATTTAGAAAATGTTTTCACAATGAAGACCAAAGACAAAAAAATATCAAACTATTACAATTATGAATTAAAAAAAAATTCTCTGTATAGTTTATCCATCACTTGTTTGTCCAGAACATCTGTGAACATTAAATTATTTAGGAAAAAAACGTATAATTTAAAGTATGTCTAATTTCACTTGGTACTGAGGAAATACAAACATCATTTATTTAAAAATTAGAGGAATTTTCTGAAATCTTTTTTCTAAGTCCAATAATTATAGAATTCTACTTCTTAAAAGTGTAAGTTTACTTGTTAGATTGCATAAATCTCACTGTACTTCTACAAGGGTTTGAATGGATATTATAGATAAAAAAATATGGAACCAGGGGATCAAATGACTTCTTAAAGTTATTGTTAAGTAGATATTAACACTATCATATTCTTTTAAAAATAATTTCTTAGTAATTTGTTTGACCTAAAGTTAGCTCTCAAAAATGTGATCATTTCCTTTGAGGAAAGAAAAAATTATCAAAAAATGTAAATACTAGACAAAAATCTAGTAGCTACAATAAACCCATTTTAGCTAAATTAGTGAGATGTTTTATTTAATTATATTGCACTTGTGATCTCCATTGTTCTGCCCAATATTTATGGATGAAATATATGTACCCTTGAATTGCCTTTAAATAGGATCCATGTCAAAATCATTAATTCATGGCCTGTAGGAATTATTGCAAATTTATCTTCAAGTACATGAATATGTGGTGATAGTGTGTTATTTAAAGAAAAGGAAAAATTTATTCTTAAGGTGATCACACCTCCAAATGCAGCTGATGAGTACATTCAGTTGATCATATGAGATGAAGGAAAACAGCTTCAGTTAACAAACCATGTTTCTCAATAAATATTTGATGTATCCAGTAATATATGAACTATATGTCAGGAAAGGAAGACTCCTGAGGATACACATATCATCTTAAATGTTTGTATGTTTATCCTGATCAAAAAAGCATGGATTTAGTTATATATTTTGCATGCTTGCAAAATGAGGATGAGCAACATTTTGAATGTTATCAGAAAATGTGGGGAATACAAAATGCGTATAATGCTGATATCTCTATCAAGTTTCCTATTATTATATACAGCTAATATATTTTTGATCCTTTTGAATGATATGACTTTATTGGAACTTAAGGACTTTTTAAAACTGATTCAAAAAATTAAAATTCCAATTTATGTTTTGATTCTTAAATCTAATTTTTATAGACAAAAATACCAGAAATGTGAAAATTATTTTTCTATAATCAGTAATCCCAAAGAGGATGATCATAATTTCAGTTCAGAATGTTGGATAATGGCCTGTGAACAATGACATGCCATACATTCTGGATCTTTTCCATGTTCTTTATCACCAGCGACCTTCAAATGGATTCTGCAACTCTAGTCAACCTTGCTAACTTAGAAGTGGATTTTTTTTTCTGTAGAAAACTCTTCTGAGTGGAATTTGGCAGGTAAATCCTGGGATTGAGATCCTAAGCATTTGTGGATTTCCACTGCAGACAAACAATCCTGGAGACAACATGCTTGAGAGATTTTGTGCTTCTTTCTATGAAAAACAAAGATAAATGGGTGAACAGTTTCTAAGAAAGAATAAGGCAGATGTGAAGGCCACAGCAGAGAGGATGGCATCCAGAGATTGTTACAGTGCCTAGTCCTTCCATGCCATTTCTTTGATAAATATTTATAAACATACTTCAATGGGTAAATGAGTATGCTCATGTCTTCTCAAGCACTGATTTTGAAGGAGTCCCTAATGAAAAGGCATAAAACAAGGGGCATTTTCTGACAAGTGACCACATGATCATTTGACCAGTTCAAGGGTTTGCAGTTTGGGGAAGTATACAAAGGCCTCTTATGAGGACAGTGCTTTCCCAGGCCCATCGCAACAATGTTTGATGTGTAGGACTCTGCTGCATGCATGGAGTGATCAGTAGCTATGGCAGATTGACAGTTTCGGTGTGAATGGAAAAGTAAGCAAATACTAAAAGGCATGGGAAAATATCAGAAGTATTTACCTATGAAAAACAATTCCTTCACCGGCCCAGAGTCCACTCAAGCCTTCTTTCAATCTCCCTTTCAGGGTTCATACTATAAAACTTTCTCTCAGAGGATTCTATGTAGCAAAGTTCTCTCCTTCCTACAAATGACCATAAATGCAAATGATGTTCCTTTACCCTAGACTGTCCTTATTGCTTTTCTCTTTCCACCTGAAAAGCCACTAATTCCTTAGAATAAACTCATAATGTGGAAGTAGCAGACAGCTTTTTGTGTGAGCTCCTAACACAGGTGCACTGAGCTCCTATATCATGAGATGCATGAAACCTGTTTACCTTTTCCAAATAAAAACAAATAAACTCACATGTATTCTTCAGTTTGAAAATTTCATTCCCACCCCTGCTTCTCCAGCAGAAGTATTTTTCCTCCCATATAACTATGCATTGTTTATGTTTATTGGCTTAAGAATCATTTGAGATTCATCTTATCACCCTGATGTTTGAAATCTTAGCTTCTGTCACAGTGTTTGTCATATAATAGATCTGTTTTATAAGTTCATGGTTGGTTCATAAAGCAAATGCCATGTGTGCACCCTCAAATTATCCATAAACCTTCTCTAACCATTTACTTACTAATTTAATAAAGCATGCATTTAGTCAGCCAAAAAAAGTGTATTAAATGTCTTCTGTGTCATTGTCTAGAAGTATTATTCACATCTTTGGACCTAAAGGTTGACTTTCGCATACAATCAACACTCACTCATTCTGTCCCAGACATTCCCCCAAACTGTGTGTTGCTGTCTCCCTGGCCACTGAAACTGGTAGCTTGCTCCTATGCTCCCTGTACACGGTGACTCTCCTTGTTGCACAGCTGATGGCTCAGCTCTCTGGGGAACTCATTTGCAGATTTGATTTATGTCTGAGTGAAAATGTTGCAGCCACTTGGATGTAGGGTCAATAGTTCGGTGGGGATTTCTGTCCTTTGATACTCTCTTGGCCCAGCTTGTGAACAACGTGGCAAGCTGGGCCTAATGGCCACTAATGAAGCCAGCACGTGCTGTCTTAGCAGGCATCTGTTCTGTATTCTCAATCTACTTCAACAGAAATATTTTCTGCCAGCCTAGCATAGCTCAGAGGCGTGGGTAAAGTCTACCTGATGAGAAAGGAGGCATGGCAGCGTGAATGGGTACAACGTATTCTTAGCATAGACATCATAACAAAGGAAACATACCTCATCCTTCCTCAAATGACACATGGAAACACAGATTACCATCTCCCTGTAAAACAAGGGGCTGGGGCTAGGAACAAGTTAGATTCACAGCAAAGCCAGAAGGCAGAAGATCAGAGAGAAAGGAAGAGGCCGAGAGGGAGAGAGAAATATCTTGCATCCATCAGATCAATCCCCAACAGGCTACAACAGCCAGATTTGGTCCAGGCAGAAGCCAAAAGTCAGGAACCTCTTGCCACTGCCCAGCATTGGTGGTGGGAGCCCAAATATTTGGGCCATCTTCAGCTGCCTCTTCAGGTGCATTACCTTGAAGCTATAATGGAGGCAAGGTATGCTATTTGTTGAAATTCACATTTGTATATCTTCTGTGTTTGGAATTCCATAACCATAGACATATAAAGTTATCACTTGGCACAAGGTCAAAAAGAACAACATTATGTGTCTCCAAAATCTTCTTTTTTTCTTTAGAAAGTGGTGTTTATTTTGCATCAACTTCACTCCATCTCTGCTTCAAAGACTGCAGATGACTTAAGATTACTTGGTGGTTGTTCCTACCCATTCAGCGGCCTGGGCCGTGGGGGCCGCAGACCACTCTTCAGTGGCTGGCTGGGTGCTCCAGTCTTTAGTGGGGAACAGTTGGATAGGCACAGGAGGCACCTGCACACCCTCTGAGTAGTCTGCAACCTCAAGTTGGGTAGCCATGAACTCAGAAGTGGGGGCACTCCATTCACCCTGGAACTCCTCCTTGCTCACAACCTTTTCAGCCACAGCCTGTTCTTCTTTTTCAATCTACTTAGGATCACGTTAGAAGTAGAGATCAGCATGACCTCCCATGGGTGTTCACGGGAGATAGTGCCACTCATGCACAGAACCCTCTGGGCCAGCATTCATTACATCAAACCACGGAGTGGGCTGCCTTGATGTTGCACAGGATGGCATTGTCCATGTAGCGCAAAGGAGAGTGCGTGTTGCACAGAGCGATGGTAGGCATGTTCATGTATGATTGCTCCATGAGGGGCTGATTGTTGGCCCTAGGATCTGTCACTATCAGGAGCCGCGGCTCCTGGGAGGTGGCCTGGATCTGGTTAGTGACGATGCCGGGAGTGAAGCGGCCAGTGATGGGAGTAGCTCCAGTGGCAGCAGCAAACTTCAGCACAGCCCTCTGGCCAGTGTTCCAGGAGGAGATTACGCTGACGTCTGCAGGGTTCTCGATAGCCACAATGGCCTATGCTTGCTACCAGCAGGAGCTTCTCCCAGTTCCTCTTGAGGTTGATGATGTAGACGCCATGGCTTTTCCTTTTGTAGATGTACTGCTCCATCTGGAAGTCGAGGTTGGTGCCTCCCAAGTGGGTTCCTGCAGCCAGGAATTTGAGGACATACTCCTCCTTCCTCTGCAGGACATCAAGGGCTCAGGACATCCTGACGGTTTCCTTGTAAAGTTACACGGGGAATGAATGACAATGCCGTATGGACCACTCGCCGGGAGCAAGGAAGATGATGTGTCTTTAAAATCTTCCAGTGTAAGTAGCATTAAATGCCTATCTTAATGGTAGTTAATATAATGAATCTCTATACCACAGTAATGTTAAATAGGACACAGACATCCAAACTGATATCTTAACTCTTAGGCAAATACCTGCCACGTAATAATATTTTGGAGACTATAAAATCATGCAACCTGACAACTAAATCAGGTGCTTTGAAAATGAATGGCTTTAGAAAAATATAAAAATACTTTTTTAAAGTAATAGATAATCACAATTTAGCATAAAATAGCTTCATGATTTTTCTTTGTTATTTCCCCCCTTTTTTCCTCCAGGACAATTCCTCTGAATTTTATAGAGATGATCAAAAACAACAAAAAGTAATTTCAAAAATTAATTTCACAACTCATGAAAAACACCATTGTAACACTGAAAGGGAGAACAGAGGGTGGAGAGGCAAATTGGGGAGAGGAAAGGGAGACCCCAGTGCCAACCAAACTGTATCATAAAACAATAATTAAAAAGTATTTTGTTAAAAAAATAAATAAGCAAACTTCACAATTCTAATGAAAGTATAATTTTTTAAAAGTTTGTCAGAATATTTATTATATAACAAAGATTTTATAGTTTGGCCTGTGATAAGAAAGAAATATGAGTACAAGGAAAATGAAAGCGTGACAAAGGCATAACAGGACAGAGTGCTCAGAAAGTCTAGCGTGGACTCTCGTGTTTATGTTACACTATGATTTCAGGTCAGTTTTAATTCCACTCTCAGCCTCAGTTCCTGCATCCATAAAAAAGGATGATAATAATTAAAATCCTAACACAAGTGTCAGGATAAAGTAAAGCGGTGTCAGTTACAATGTGAATTTGTGTTTGTTCATCTTCAACCATATCTGAAGTGAAAACATGCTGTTATGTTTTTATTACTTATGTGCGAAATTAGGTAGTTTGTAGACATTGTTTCCCTTAATGAAAACCTCCATGTTTACAGACTGAGGAGACTCAATGTTAGAGATACTAGAAATTTTACTAATTATCTTGATTAGTAAAGTCTTCATTTCAACCTATTTTTGCCTGAATCTAAGCAAAACTTTTGTAGACAAGAATTGAGGTGATAGGGCCCTACGTGGTGGCCCAGGGGCTCAAGTCCTAACCTTGAACACGCAGAGATCCCGTATGGCTACTGGTTCTAATCCAGCCAGCTTTGCTTCCCATCCAGCTCCCTGTCTGTGGCCTGAGAAAGCAATCAAGGAAGGCCTAAAGCCTTGGGATCCTGCACCTGTGTGGGAGACCTGGAGGAAGTTTCTGGCTCCTAGCTTTAGATCAGCACAGCTCCAGCCATTGCGGTCACTTGGAGAACAAATCGTTGGATGGAAGATTTTCCTCTCTCTGTCTCTCCTCCTCCCTGTATATCTGACTTTGCAATAAAAATAAATAAATCTTTAAAAAAGAAAAAGGATTGAGGTGATAGCAATGGATGGTGTTTTCTACAATTGATTGGAAGCACTGAAGCCAATAGACTGCTTCAGAATCCAAATGGGAAGACCTCTATCCTGTAGCTCAGAGGGGATGGGGAAAGAAGGTTAAAATAGAAATGAAAGGGTCGTAAACAAAACAGGAGACTTAGTGGATTTGGGAAATGCAAAAAAAAAAAAAGTTTACCATTAATATGCATGAACTGGAAGTGGAGAAGTCATTATAAAATTTTTTTGATAAGTTGCTTTGCAAGGAGATGGGTATAAAAGAGAAGAGAGCCTATTTAAATTTTACACATAGCATGAACTAATAAGAATATAACTCTGCATTTTAAAGAATAAGTTAGTAATTCAAGGTTGAAACATATCTGAGATGGGGTTTTGAAATTTTATGACTCAACACCAAGTGTATTCCACTAGTACATATGTTAAAATGCACATTACACATCCACATATGACTAATGAGATTTCAAATCCACTCTGATTCCCTCCCGTTTGCAAAAGGAAATTAAAAAATTGATTGGTTACTCCCTTCATGGCATATGGACACCTTGATTGGCCAGTTGCTGGTGGCTAGGCAACCAGGCAGAGAATCTTTGAACAAGTAGCAGACTTCATCACAGCAGGAGCTGTGAGGCAAGAAGCTCTGGGATCAATTAAAATGCCAGGCTTTTCCAGGCTTGTTTCCAGCGCATCTGTGCATGAGTCCTCATAAATTTAGGGAATTAGAGATCAGACAAAGGTAAACATTTCTGTGCTTTGCTTAGCATTGATTTAGAATGAGAGGACGAAATGCGCTGCGGTCATTCAGCCCACAGGGGGTTTACACCTTCAGCTGATATTTTTCCCCTCCTCAATTGCTTTATTATTTCAGGTATTTTGTAATTGAGAACTGCTTAAATCATTGGTGTGTTTCTTTGGTTGAAGAGAAAAAGAAACAAAGGAAAAATCCATTCCTAGTTTTCATAGACTAAACAGTTGAATATGACTCATTCTTTAATTTTACGGTCACACCTCTGAAAGAAGAAACTATTAATGCTCCTCATTTTCTAGCTATTTCATCACCTGAGCTGGATTTAAGAAAAAATATTTTTCATGTCCCCATACAAAATGAGACTTTTTTTTTCCTGCTTTGCGTCCTGATGAAATCTGCCCGTTTGCGGCACCTCAGTTGTTCTTTTTTGTTTGTTTGTTTGTTTCATGATTTTATCTGTCTCTGAGTCTGTAGTAAGGGCTAAAGAGGGGGTACCAGTTGACAAAAGATCTATCTCCTTCTTTTTGAATATCTGCCTTTCCAATAAAAATTGTTCAATCTTTAAAAATGCATGATTGTATCTTTAAATCCCACTGATATCACAGAGTTCTGTTGTAGTTCAACAATAGAAAGCAAGCAGCCACAAACTTTGTCTATATACTCAGTGTAGAATCAGAAGTAGGGCTTTGAGCCACTGGTAAGTGAATTTTAGTTACCTCAATATTGCCTCAGTTACCTTTACCCCAGTGATAATTAGATTGCCCAAGTAATTTTTTTTTTTGCAATACAGTTGTATAATTCTATAAACTTTCTTCCTGAAAAGGGAAGCAATATGCATTTATTTAAGTGGGAACACTGGAGTCGAACTTAACTGTTATTGATAGCCATGTAAGGGAGAGGTTCTCTCTATTCTTTGCAGTTGGGTACTCTGTGACATGCCAAAGGTCGCATAATGATGAATAAAAACATTCCTGACTTTCTGGATATCAAGCCCAAATTCTTTTTGCCCAACTGCACAGACTTACTTCATTCTCAGTAAATCCTACAAGGTTACACTGAGGATTACCTATATAAACTCTGACATGGGTTCAATAGATCAATCAATCTAGATGTATTACAAACATATATGCCTCTATAATGGCCATTTCCAGGAGAACATAAAGACTTTGGAAATTATAGTCTACCTCTATAAGAGAAGTGACAGTCTTCTAACAGAACACAATGTAGGAAAGTGTTAAAGGCTCGACACTCAAGTCCAGTGTTCCAACTCTAGGAACCTTCAGCATAATAGGACATAGATCTTGCAAAATTGCACATAGAAATATTTCAATAAGGAAAATAAATTCAACCACTCTGTAAAAAAGTATTTTAATTTTAGCTTTTGCCTACCTATAATTAATGCTACTTATGCGCAGTTGAGAACTTGTAACTTGAGTCTCGACCATATAGTTATTTTTCCCAATTTTTCTCAAAAATACTAGCAGCGCTCAGAAGCCGGACAGGAACTGAGTATAACTCAATGGAAAGAAACAAACAAAAAAATTAAGAAGGTACCAACATAAGAATTTTTTTCCCAAAGCAGAAATTAGTTCTGCTAAATTCTTTGAACTGTTAAATATAAGCAAAAAATTTCATTAATTCAGAAAACTCTGTAGCATAACTGTGATAGTTCAACTGACTAATCATCTACCTACAAGCAACAGCATCCTATATTGGTGCCAGTTTGTTTCTAGGTTGCTCAAATTCCCACAGAGCTTCATGTTTATGCCCTGAGAAGACAGTAGAGGATGGCCCAAAGCTTTGGGACCCCACCCCTGTGTGGTAGACTCAGAAGATGTTCCTGGATCTTAGTTTCAGACCAGCTCAGCTCCAGCCAAGGTAGTCATTAGGGGAGTGAACCAGCAGAGGAAGATCTTTCTTTCTCTCTTCTTTCCTTGTCTTCATAAATATTCCTTTCTAGTAAAAAACAGATTTAAAAAAAAAAGAAAAAATCTGCTTAATCACAGAAGTATATTATTTTATTTTGTTAGAATTTGGGAGAATTGCTCAGCAACAGAACGTAAATGGTAATTTTTGCCTTAGTCAATCTGGCCTTCAGTAGTAGAACATCTGCCCCTGCAAGGCAGAAGCCGCACCTCTGTAGGTCCAAGAAGCCTTGCTTCATTGCTGCTCCTGAGGGCGTTAAAAACAAAGTGTACAGAAGCAATATATTCGTAAACACATTCAAATATTTTTTGCTAAACTTAGATAAAATACAGGTATTGGTACTCTTGGCTTTTGTCTTCAGCATTGTATTTAAGAACAATAGCAAGTGCAATAATAAGGTCAAAAGAGAAAAGATAGATGTAGAAAGAATGAGCAAGTGATGGAGTCAAGGACGGAGAATAAATCAGAAAAAGATAGCATCGTCAAATGTTGGCCAGAACATTGAGAAAGTGGAACAGCAATATACTCCAGCCAGGAATGCTAAAACTACCCAGCCAGTTTGGAAAACAGTTTAGAGGATTTTAGCAAGTTACCTATGAACTGACTGCAATAGACTATTGATTCTACCATGGTGGAGTACCACAAAGTGCAAGACTTTACCTGTAATTTGTTTTTTTCACAGTTTTAGAAGAGTGAATGTCTAATATCAAGGGATGGGGAGATTTGGTTTCTGCTAATAACTTATCTACTCAGTCGTTGACAGCAGTGGCCATCGC